CCCTCGGCGTCAGGCCCTTAAGCCTCACCTGGCTCGTACGGGTGATCTGGGTAGATCTTGGTGGGAGCCGGCGTTCTGCCAAATATCGAGGTCCTAAACCGTTTAGGGCTTTATAAGTTAGCATTAAAACTTTGACGTCGATGCAGAAACGAATGGGCAGCCAATGCAGCCTGGCCAGAGTAGGAGAAATATGCTGGTATTTTCTCACTCCACTAAGGAGTCTGGCCGCTGCATTCTGCACCACCTGAAGTTTCCACATCAGCCTCAAAGGCAGCCCCACATAGAGTTTGTTACAGTGGTCTAATCTTGAGATTACAAGCGCATGCTCATAAGAAATGGAGATGCCTGGTCATTAGAACTGCCATTCAGGAATCGTTTTGGGCTTTCATTCAGATGCTGTTGTGCAACTACCATAAAAAGAGAATATTCTGACAAATACCACATGTTTTTATGACATGATTGAACAAGTAGACGTATGCTTTTTCTGTCTATTAAGAGCAAGCAACATTGCCTCATGATATACTTGTTAGTATGTGTTAAAAGCTGACAGGGAAAAAAGTTCATTTCAGATGTGGTGCTGGAGGAGAGCTTTACAAACACCCCGGACTGCCAGAAAAACGAACAAGTGGGTCCCAGATCTCATCAAGCCTGAAATATCTTTGTAGGCAAAAAATGATAAAACTGAGGCTGTCTTACTTCGGGCTCATCATCAGAAGGCAGGTGCTGGGAAAGGTGGAAGGCAGCAGGAAAAGAGGAAGATCAAATATGAGATGGACTGACTCCTAAAAAAGAAACCACAGGCTTGAGTTTACAAGCTTACAACTGCAGGGCTGTTGAGGACAGGACATTTTTGAGGTCACTCATTCATGGGGTCGCCATAGGCCATAAGTGTCTTGACAACACATAACAACAACAATGTATTAATGGTGACCTAACCCCTTGGAAGGCATCCTTTTTCGCTGTATCATTTTTGAAGTTTTTCATCCTAACCTGGCGCTGTTGCTTATTCTTTTTTGCTTAGTCAGTAAAGCTTTCTTAGGATGAATTTGCCCAGTCAGATCTTGGAAAAGTAAAGGTTTTGGACTGTAACTCTCAGAATTCCTTTAGCTTGATATTGAGAAATGTAGTCCAGAAAAGTAACTTCTTCAAGATCTGGGCCCAGTGAGGTTTGAAATACTGGCAAAGTCAGTTTTACTTACACATTTCTATCCCACCTTCCCCCCCAGTGGAGGGATTCAAGGCTGTTTATTTACAGCAGCAAAAAAAAAAACAAAACAAAAAAAAACCCCACATATGTTTAAAGTCATGATAGATTAAGATATTAATGTTAACATAGAATTAAACCTAAACAATGTTAACAACTTTGTAGACATGTTACAAATGGCACACCTGAACAAATGTACTGCAGTCCCTACTAAAAACTGGAGTCCTGCCATAGCGTTCCTAGAGTTGGTGCTTTCTGGTAGCCCTCTTTGTGCCTTTAGGAGGTCTGGTTAGGTAGAAATTCAAGAGGTTTGTTTTTCGGTCTTTGCAGCTATAGGCAGTGATGAGGAATGTTGAACTTCTGCTGGCCAGCCAGCTGTAGAAGGCAGACAAAACCTTATAGGCTTGCTTTCCTTAGATGTTTGTCCTAAGCAGGAACTTGTCTGCCTGCTTGGGAGTAGAAAATGTGCAGGCAACTTTTGGTGTGCATGTGTGTGTTTGTACGTGTCCGTGTATGCTGTCTACAACAAGATACGTGGTGGAACGATGTACTCTGTTCTGCCACCCCTGCTGTGACCTCAAAGCAGTGGGGAACTGACCTGCTTTTAAAATCTCTCCAGTAACTCCACATTCCTTCCCGTCTCTTCCCTTGGCGTCCACAGTGTTTACCTTGCTTAATTTGAGGAATTTTGGGGTCAGCCCTGTGACTTCTGAGTAACAGCAAAAGAGAATCCTGTAATGGCCCACAGGCCTGGGTTTTTGCAACTTGCTTTGCCCTGTACTTTTTGGAGGGTAGGTAGCTCGGTCACCCTCTAAATTCCAGTGTGATGCCAAAGAGAGACTGTTTCATAGTAGATGCCAATGAACAGCAAACAACGTGTTGTGGTGCTGTTGGTTGTTATTGATTTCTCAGCAACTTCCCCTGTTCCCTGGACGAGAGATAGGAGTGGCTGTGCAGTTGCAGAAGCAGGGCGGAAAGGTCTGATCTGCGAGCAGTTCCTCTTACGAAAGCATTAAGACCTGAATGCCAAAAGCCACCCCCCCCAAAAAATAAACTGGACTTTGAGCCATTTGTCGCTTGTGATTGAGTCCCTGAAGCGCAGTGTAGGGTCTGGCTGATCCATCCCTGGTGCTTACTGTCAGCCTCTGCAGTCACAAACAGGTGTGTTTGTGTGTGTTTGTGTTTGTGTGTGAGAGAGTTTCCCTTTAATAGAACAAAGGATTTTTCTCCCCTCCCCCCCTTTCTGTCTTCAGAAGCTAACAAAAGGTACTGATCTTTGAGCCGGAGGGCAAGTAATTATTTCTCCATTAATGAGAAACTGGGCCAGGCTTCTGGATCAGTAGATTAAAGTCTTGGCAGGAAAGGATTACCTTTCTGAGAGCTTCTCATCTTCAGGGGGGACACTTGAGTAGTGAAGCTCAGGAAATAAATAAGAGAGATTTTCCTTTTTATTTTATAGTGAAGCTGATCCTGGTTTGGGCAAAAGAGGCATTTTCAAGTGCAGCTCCCAAAATGCACAACTCCCAGAATCCCCCAGGCACCGTATCCAGTGGTTGGATTTTTCAGCCTCTCTTAATGTCAGGGAGTAAAATTGGGGCTTTCTCTTTCTATAGTCAAAGCACATATATGGCAACTGTGTCCCCTTCTCATTACAGTTGGGCTGCAGCTATGTGGTCCAATACCATGATATTTGTTCTGCTTATAAAATGAATTCAGAGTATTTTTAACTGACCGCATGACACAAAGGCTGATTCAGATTGGTCCAGTGTGTTTTGTCCCCAAAGTGGCTTCCCCCCCCTCTGCTGGGCAGGGGGGGCTCTACTTGTTCAAGCTAGAAGGATTTAAATAGGCTTTCCCCCATGTGCCTAATTGTTAAGGGGTGTGTGTGTTTTAATGGTGTAGGCATTAGGGGCATGATGTTCAGGACCAAGGGGACACCCCCCTGCACACACACATTCTTTCCCTTGATGGTCCTCTGATTTTTTGTAAATTTCCTATGTATATTATTTCTTATATTTATACCCCATAAAAGAATTGGCAGAGAAAAGACCAGAGAAAGACCAGATCAGCAGAAATGGGACCAGAGGAAGGAAGGAAAGAATGAGGGGCTGTGGGGTAGAACACAAGTTGCATTGCATCCAGTATGAATGATGAATTCCTCAGTCACTGACTGATTTCAGATGTAAAGTGAACTGCTTATATGCCACCTCATAGAACTTTAAGCTCTCTTTGGGTGGTTTGCAATTTTTAACCCTGCAGGCCACACGTTACAAGGTGCTGCTGCTAAAAATACATTAATATCTTGATTGATACGAATGCTTGAATACGATGCCCTGAGCCAGTCCAGGCTGTTGTGGTGCTAAGGTGAAGATCAAGATAGCCCTTTCTTCTATTCTGTGGATAAAGGCGCAAATCAGTATTGGCAGTTCCATCGTTTCTTCAGCACTGACAAAAAGAAGCAAAGTAGCTTAGAGAGTACATAGCAGGTCTCATAGCATCTGACATGTGAGGTAGCCAGCTCATTCTGCCTAATGATGAAGCTGGCCCTGTGATGCCTATTAATAATAGGTTATCATCCGTTTGGTGTAATATCTGTTCTAAAGCTCAGCTTATATTTTATGCACAAATATATTTGAGAATCTTATTTGAAAAACAAGCATAATTGTCAAACATCTTTGTACACTGGGCTTCTATCTGGGTATTTGACTTCAGATCCCGGGTATGAATTAATTGTATTCCTTTGGGCAAATCATTGCTTTTTCATTTTCAGTCCATCATCTGTGAATAGGAGTGAATGAGAATAGGAGCAGTATACCTCATAGGATTTTGTGTTATGAATGGAGAATGTAAGGAGAGTGTAGTTTAAACTATCTATGGACATTACTACGTAATTGTATGATAAGGAAGTGAGTTGTCTTTCACTGAAGAGTTATTTTAATAGCGAAATAACAGTAGCTTCCATATGAGACAGAAAATAAAAATTGTGGGGCTTGGTTCTTGTGATAGTAGAGCATCCCTAATAGCAAACAGAAGTGGGTGGATGTGAAGAGAGCACTCAACATTTGCAAGAGGTCAGATGTGCAGACCTGTGACAGAGATTAACTGCTCGCTGGTAAATTGTGGAGTTTGAACAATGTTAACGGAGACTGGAAAATAGAAGAAAATGCATTAGAGCCATTGGAGTTCTACTGGTTCTAATTTAAAATTTTAAGTAGAATTTTTGCTCTGTCTGTTACCTGGACTAATCTAAATCAAAGCAGCATTATATTTTTGAATACAACAGGATGGGAACAGCTTCTTAGATAGTCAACCTGACAACTGGGTTTTTTTTTATTTTTTCAGGCGTGGTGAGAATGGAGAAGATAGCCCATGTTTACCATCTCTATGTGTATTGCTGATTGCTCTAACACCTTAGTGTGAATATTTGGCATTCCTGAGCTTCCTTGTTGAAGCAGATATGTGTTAGTATGTACACTTTGCACTTTAGGCTGGCTTATACAATGGCAGGAACCTCTGTAAACTGCAGCCTGTTTCCATGTATTTGTGGAGTGGGTTGAAAAACTAAAGAAGGGGAAATCAAGCCAACTGTTCAGCAGTTGTTGGGTAAAATGATGGAAATCTGCTAACCTTCAAAGACTTTTGCAAGAGATCTGAGAAGTGAGACTGTTGCCACAGAATTCTGGATTGAAATTCTGTGTAGCTTATGTCTTACTAAACCTGGGTTTTTCCTGTGTACTCTTCTGGTGAGGCCTGCTTTCTCTCGTCTCCCTGACTGCTGTCCTGTTGGTTTCCACAGAGATCCACGGAGGGCCACGGTCGCGCCAGTTACAGCCTGCACGTTCCCTCCCGGGGCCTTCCCACTGCCTGAAACATTTCCCTGTTGACCTGCGTACCTCCATGGATGGCAAATACAAGGAGATTGCTGAGGTACCATTATTACTTATTTGCTATTGCTTTTGTATGTAATAAATCTTGGAACAAGACCTTTTAATCCATCATATCAGACTAATGAGTTCCTGTTCTCCTTTGATGATTTCTCTTGATGTTTAATAAAACACCCAGTTTGTCACCCAGTTTTTGAAAAGAAACTTCTTTGAATGATGAGTGAGACAGTCTATTTACCCTTTGCTGTTGGAAATAATGGGCTACATTCAGAGATCTCTCGGGATAGTTCTGCTTGTAGAACAGATTATTTTTTTTAGTTTCTGGTCGTGGAAACTAACTCTACAAAACTCTACTCCAGACATGGGATATTCATATTTGTCTCCCGGGGAGAGAAATATGAATATCAACACCTCTGGTGAGAATACGGGACGGCGAGTCTCCCCACTCAGCTGCTGAGTGGTCAGCAGCGCAGGGAGGTGGGCGGGTGCTGGCTGGGCTACTTCCACGATTGGTACAACGCAAGACTACAACAGCCGTGCACACCATGTGGTAAGTGATAAGTGAACTGGCCGGTTCTGGAGGGAGGGTCCAAATGGACCAGACACCTGTGGTGCCAGTATTCGTATTTGTCTCCTTCTGGGAGACAGATACGAATATCCTATGTCTGCTCTGCTCCAAACAGGTTGGGAGACCCTCTGCAGTAATGGAGGAGACGGTATTGCAGGAAGAAAAAACTGTTCCTCCTTTTTCCATTTGTCAAAGCCTCTGGGTCCAACCTGATATTTGGAAAGTCTTCTGTGGTTGAACACGCTTCTGGGGAACTTCCTTAGGGCTCCAACAGAGAATGTCATGGAAAATTCCATGGCCACTGTGAGAAACAGCAGCCCTACTCTTTTTATTATTATTA